ATCTCTTACGTTTCCTTTGAGAAATTTTATAGTTTTAGGTCCATGATCCATTTTGAGTAAATTTCTGCATACAGTGTAAGGTGTGAGTCAAAGCTTTTTTTTTTTTTTTTACATTTCAATATCCAATAGTTCCAGCATCATTTGTTGAAAAGGCAGTCCTTTCTCCATTACATTGCTTTTGTGCCTTTGTCAAAAATCAGTTGTCCATATATGTATGAGTATACTTCTGGACAGTCCATTCTGATCAACTGATTGAAGTGTCTATCTCGATGCCAACACCATGCTCCTTTGATTAATTACAGTAGTTTTCTACTTCGTGAATTAAAGTAATGTTAGCCCTTCAACTTTCTTTTTCAGAGTTGTTTTGCCTATTTTGTTCCCTTGTGTTCACATATGAATTTTCAAATAAACTGTTCAATTTCTACCAAAAAAAAAAAAAATTGCCCTAGAGTTCTGATTGGAATTGCCTTGGATCTATTGGTCAATTTTGGGAGAATCAACATCTTCACAATATTGATTTTTCTGACCTAAGAACAATGTACATATCTCAACTTAGGTCTTTAAAAATTTTCTTTCATATATGTTTTGTAGTTTCTCAGAGTAGAAGTCTTTCACATTTTTTGTCAGATTATATCTTGCATCTTTGCCACACTCACTTATTAATTCTAGTAGCTTTTTTGATAGATTTTATTAGATTTCCGTGGTTAGAACCTTAAGTACAACACTGAATATAAGTGCTAAGAGTGAATGAACATCCCTTTCTAGTTCCTGATTTTAGGGAGAATGAACTCAGTATTTTATTACTCAGTGTTACATTATGTGTGGGTATTTTTTAGATGTTCTAAGTTCCTTTCTATTCCATGTTTGCTGATTTTTTAAAAAAAAATAAGAAATGGATGATGTCAATTGGTTTTCATTATTTTAGTTTTTAAATATGATGAATTACATTGATTGATTTTCAAAGGTTGAGTCAAATCTATTTTCCTGGGATGGACCTCACTTGGTTGTAATGCATCATTCTTTTGATATATTGGTGGATTCAATTTGCTAAAATTTTGTTTAGAATTTTTGCATTTATATATATGAGGATATTTGGTTTGTATGTAGTTTTCTTTAAATGACTCTATCCAGTTTTGGTATAAGGTTAATGCTTATTTCATAGAGTAAGGTGGGAAGCATTCCTCTGATTCAATTTTTGGAAGAGTTTGTGTAGAACTGATATTATTTCTTCCTGACATACTGATGGAGTTCAACAGTGAGCCCATCTATGCCTGGATTTTTCTTGGTCCAAGGTTTCTAACCTCAACCTCAATTTCTTTAATAGATATAGGCCTAGTCGGGCTATTTTTTTCTTGAGTGAGTTTGGCAATTTCTGTCTTTCAAGGAATTTGTCTATTTCATCTCAGTTTTAAAATTTATTGGCTTAGTTATTTATAATATTCCCTTATTATCCATTTAATATATATAGAATATATAGTATTGGCTTTTCTCACTTTCCTGATATTGGTAATTTGTAACCTGTCTCACTGTAATCAGTCCTTCTTTTCTAATAGAGACATTTTAGCACTATAAACTTGCCCCTAATTTTAAACACTCAGTTGTTTTTTCTACTCCTATGCTTTCAAGTTCACTAATCTTTTCTTCTGCAATGTTTAATCTGCTGTTAATGCCATTCAGGAGTTTTTATTAAATCCAAACACTATAGTTTCTCATATGCAGAAGTTTGATTTTGGTCTTTTATATCTTCCATGTCTCTAACTTTTTTAAAATACGGAATACAGTTATAACTGTTTTAATATCCATGCTAATTCTAATATCTAAGTCAGTTCTGGTTTGATTTCTACTAAATGATTATTATCCTCATTATGGATCAAGTTTTTCTGTCTCTTTGCATCCCTAGTAATTTGACTGGTGCCATACATTGTGATTTTTACTTCCTTGGGTGCTGGATATTTTTATATATTTTTTATTTCCCCTAAGTTTTCTTGAGTTTCATTCTGGAATACTAGGAAACACTTTGATGCTTTTGGGTCTTGCTTTCATGATTTTTCAGGCACGTCTGCAGCAGTGCTCAGCCTAGGGCTCATTATTTCTCACTAATGAGGCCAGACCTTCCTGACTACTTTACCCAATTTTCCATTGTAACAGGCTGAATAAAGGCCACCCAAAGATATCAGGTCCTAATCCATGAAACCTACAAATGTTACCTTTTTAAAATGTGGGGTGTTTGTGCAGACGTGATTAAGTATCTCGCCCTGGAAAAATTATACTGGATTAACTAGGCGTATTGTTAATCCAATTATAAGTGTCTTTTTAAGAAAGAGAGGCAGAGGAAGATTGGACATACATAGAAGAGGAGGAGGCAATGTGGCCATGGAGGCAGAGATTGGAGTGATGCATCCACAAGTCCAGGAATGCTAGCAGCTACTGGAACTGATTCTCCTCTAGAGCCTCCAGGGGGATTAAGGCCTTGCCAGAGACTTGGTTTTGGCTCACTGAAAATGATTTAGTATTCTGGTTTCAAGAAATGTAAGTAAATAAATTTTTATTCTTTTTGGCTACGAAGTTGTGGTAATTTCTTACAGCAGCCTCAGGAAACTACTATACCCATGAATTATGAGTTTTTCCAGTCTGGCGGTTGGGAACAGGTGGTACCAAGCAAAGTTCCTGCTAATCCTGTTTCTCTCAGATGGCTCTTTCCCTGGTCAGAGAGTTTAGTCACATGCATGTGATGGTGAATAACACTCTACTGAATACTTTTGGGGGACCTTCTGTAGATCTCCAGGGCGCTCTCTCTCTCTATTTCTTTCCTCCCTAATCTACTTGGTGTCCTCAGACTCTTGGTTCTGCCACCTCAACTTGCTAGGTCTGCCAAACTTTGCCAAAGGACCAACTCCCGGTGCCATGTCCTGAAAATTCTATTAAGCACTGAAACTGGGACACTTCCTTTGTTTCCTTTCTCTCAGGGATTACTTTTCTTCATTGCCTAATGTCCAGTATCTTGAAAACCATTATTTCATGAGTTTTGTCTGCTTTCTAATCTGGTCCCTGTTACTCCATCTTGGCTGGAAATTCCATTAAAGTTTATAAACATCTTCTTTATTTTATATTTTTGGCTAAAGTCAGATGAATGCACAATGAAAAAGGGCACTCAGGCAAACAAAGAATCGTGTTTTTTTTTTGTCTTTTGTCTTTTTCCGTGTCTGGCAATGGATCACAACCCTCAGTGTTGCCCCCGGACCGGACCGGGGACCGGCAATGGGATTGCAACCCTCGGCGTTGCTCCCGCGCCTCGCTCAGCCAGTGAGCGGGAACCGGTCCATATGTGGGATCCGAACCCTCGGGCGGGAGCGCTGCCGCGCTTCCCAAGCGGCGCACTATCCAGTGCACCACCGGGCCGGCCCCCAAAGAATAGTGTTTATAAAGTTCACAGTAGTCTTCATTCAACAGATTTTTACCGAGGCATTATTTCTAGGCATTGAAAATAAATAGGTAAATAAAATGTCAATATTGCTCAAATAAAACATTTTATCATGAACTCCTTGAACACAGTCCATTTTTCATTCACCTTTGTATCACGAAGGCACTTGAAAGCATGTATCATGAAAGCAAATAGTTATCAAAATAGAGTTCATTACTAAAATACCACTTCATTTAAATATAAATAAAGTTTACTATGACAACTATTGACTTTTACTAAAGAATAATAAAAGAAGATGCTGAATAAAAGATAGGATAATCCAAGAAAAGTTTAGAATTTTGAATAGTTTAATTAAGAGTTTAATTTCATATTGAAATGACTTAAGAATATATTCAATTGTCCACATCATTTCTTAATATAATAACATTTTACTAGTGAGAAGAAACACTAAAAGGAAAACCTTAAGGATTATCCTTCCCATAAAAAGCAAAATTTTACTTCAAAAACTTAGGAATCTTTCAAAAACAACTTTCACTCAAGTGTAAATGAGAATTTAAATCTAAAATGTCAGATATGTAATTCTGTTTTACTCTCAAGGTTTACAACAATATCATTCAGGACTAAGTTTCCAGTATAGTATAGGTTACTAAAATAATCATAATACTAACACCGTGTGACATTTTTAATTAAGCACACTCTGTACCAAGCACTATGCTAAGCACTTTACATGAATTGTCTCCTTTGAGTCATACCATACCCTTTGAGACAGATATTTTTATCCTAATTTTAAAGATGATGAAGCTGAGACATTAAGTAACTTGTGTATGGTCACACAATTGTGTGCTTGTAAGGCTGGACTTGAATTCAGTTTTCTTGACTCTAAAGCTCATGTTCTAAAAATAAGCCACAAATTCAAATTCACAAATGAGTAAAACCGGGCTAATTCATTGTAAAAAGCTGTACAGTTCCTATAGATAGTAGTTTCCTTCAAACATCAAATATCAATCAATATTTTAGCTCAATACTTCAAAAGGACTTTTATTTTAGAAGGTAAAGCTAAACTCATGTAAGGCACTCGAATACTAAAAAACGATACGGTTCTATATTTAAAGAATTTGTTTAAAGTCTCTCAAAAATAGATCAACAAAAATACTCAGAGGAAAACTACTAAATCTTATTTTTTCTTATGTGTGTATCTTGTGAATATAGAGTATATGAGAAGGGATCACATAATTTACCCCAAGACAGATTCAATTATTTTCACATTAACATACTTCCTTAAAAAGGACTTGAGTTTATAATAGATACTTATTCTATGTGGACAGTGTGTACAAAATGTATGTAACATTTCATATTTCTCTGCCATCACTGGAAAGAAAAACATAGATCAATAGATACAGTCCCTCTTATAAAAGGAGTCTCAAAGCATGTGTTTTGAAAGTCTAACTAAAAGGTTTTAAATTTCCCCATGTATGCTCATTTGTACACACACCCCCTGAGTGCAAGGGATGAACAGTATAAGGGCCCTTAGAGACTACTTCACCTCTGAAGAAATTATAGTAATATTTTTGTTATTTACCTGAAGATTTTCACAGGTCTCTTGACTATAAGTAAGTCTCTGGATTTCTGTAGGTGAAACAAGATATAATGCTTGTCCATTGTTGGTGAAGCAGAATGTTCTGGCTATCCGCATATTGGTAAGGGGCAAGTAATACACATCCAATAGGGGCCTTAAACTTGGCAAACTTGAGAAAAAAATTAGAAACTTGTTAATAATAAACAAGGTAAATTTTAGTCTCGAGCAAAGCAATATAGAAGTTAAAAATAGCAGGGACCTTATAAATGTTATGATTCAGTTTGTATACCTGAATGGGAGATAAAAAATGATTTGTATTCCTCATATGCTTTTTCAGTATTAACTGAATAAAAATAAATTTTCAGTGCATAAGACTATAAACAATAAAAAAGCATTTCTTCCAAACTGCATATAATTCTGTAATATGATTTTAAAAAGAAAATACTATATCTGTGTTTAAAAAATATCTAACTCTTACCTAAAAGTCATAATATGTCCATTGGCACAGAAACACGCAAGACAGATACTGTTACTCAATGCTACAATATCTCCACGAAGCACAAATGAGGTCTCTGTAATGTTTTGCTTGTAAGCACAGTTCTGAGTTGGCAGTGAGATTACTTTTGCCTGCTTTTCAGAACATATCACTGCATACTGGTTTTCACTAATTTCCTGAGAAGAAGAGGGGGATACTGAAACAGGCCTCCGTTTTTTCAATTTCTCCTTTTCATCCTTTTCTTCAGGAACATTTTGTTCTCTCCAGGGTTCATATGCAGGTGGCACTAAGCAGCCTGTGGTATCCAGAAATGCCATTCTCAAGATTGCACCTTTTAACCTCAATATAGTACCTAAAATACAGAAGTTTAGTAAATAACTGAAATATTTTAATCCACAGAGTAAATATGTTTATTCCAACTTTCACACATCCATACTATACACTCAAAAATATGTTGAATGCATATTGAACTGAAAATGTACACTGGCTAATTGACAGGATTCAAACTTCGAGCAGGATATTAATGAGTTTGGAAAAAGATGTCATCATTTAGATATCATCACCCAAAATAGATAAATACCACTAACTGATAATTCAGTTTAATTAAATACAATGAATTTTGCAAACATATATGTGACCTTCAGATAAGTAAACAACTGGTATACTGGGTATCTAGACTTATGTCTCCTCTTGTACCCACCAAGTGCTCTACCAATAAGTAGGAGAGCAATTGGATGGCATCTCCAGTTGTGCTGTCCCATATGGCAGTCACTACCCACATGTGATAAGAGAGCACTGGAAATGTGCTTTGTCCAAACTGTGGTGGACAATTGAGGTGTGCTGTGAAGACTTTAGTACAAAAAAAAAAAAAAAATTAAATGTAATATCTCAATAATTTTTAACAAATATATGGTGAAACAATAATAATATTTTGGATAATGTGGCTCAATAATATATGTTAATAAAATTAATTTCATCTATTTTTTACTTTTTTAAATGTGGCTACTGGAAAACTTTAAAGTATATATGTAACTCACTTGCATTTTTAATAGACAGCACTGACCCAGAGGGCCAATGAGGAAAAAAAACAAATATTCATATATTTTTAAATAGGCATTTTATTAAAAACAAACCTCAAAGACTCCACCATTGAGAAGGATCTAAGAAGTTCCTTCTTACACATAAAATTATTTTTATATCAAAGTAACTATAGCTAATTTGATTTTTCTTGCACATTGGAAAATATCTTAAATACTTTTTGTGTAGTTAACAGTAAATCACTTATGTTTAATCCTTCTCTGTCATTTCTATCTACTGGAAACAGTTTATTATTATTAAAAATTGGTATATATTTGTTGTAGAAAATCTAGAAACTACAAATCACTAAAAAGAGGAAAAGTAAAAATTATCCCAATTCTGTTAGCCAGTAATAATTCCTGTTAACATATTGATTTTCATCTTTCCAGTATTATTTTATCCCTATACACATAATTGTTACATATAAAAAATGAGATTTTTAAGAATATCAGATGAAACCAGTTTTCTTTAATCTAATAAACAGGTGTACAGTATATACTCAAGTATTTATTGAGTTGAATAAATAAAACTGTTTATTTAATGTAAACATAGTTCAGAAATCAACAGTAAAATTATAATTACATTTTAATTCTAAATTCTAATTGTCAAAGTCTACCGTAAAAACAAGAGAAACATTAATGAGCAAAATCATGGTTGTTTCTATGTAGATGAGTATAAATGAGTAGTAATGGAACCAGGATTCTCAGTTATTTCCAGACCTAAGACACTTTACACATATTTGACAAAATCCTACCTCATTTTCAAAATACGAAGACTAAATATTTTTAAAATTTACTATTAAATCATCTTTTCCTAATACTTTCAAGAAGAAAAATAATTTCAAATGTCACACTTAGAGATTAAAAATAACCAAGTGTAGAATGTTCAAAAATAAGCTTTTCTGTTTTTCCCCAAAATACATACTGTCCTGTTTCTTGTAGAACATCATTTTGAAGTATAAGAAATGCATTATTATAACAACCATTTTTTTTCTATTTTCTTATGTAGTAATCATCTTACACACAATGTTTGAATTTGTAAAAAATTCAAAACCTGAATGGCTATATAAACAAACAATATTCTGAATTCTTGCTCTATGTATTCCTTCATTAAAAACGTAAGATAGAGACGTGGCCACCCAGCCACAATGCAAGGAAACCGCAACTTGAGTTCCTGGCTCAGGAAGAAAAGGAGTTACATGCCCCCTTTTCCTCTCCATCCTAATCATAAGAGTATGCATTGGAAGCTATAAAATCTGGGTAGAATATGTAGAGCATCTGAGGACTCTGAAAAGCAAATAATAGCAGGCAGACTGGAGAAGACCAAAATATTTCACAGGCAATCCAGAGCCACTGCAAAATCTCTTCCTGATATACTAAACCAAATTTACAAGCTCAACAATCTCCATTCACATGTTTCAAGCTTGTATGGCTTTCAATGGGCAAGTTCTACCCAGGTTCTCCATTCTTGAAAATAGGAAAACCAGCACTACAAAATTCAATACCTTTCAGGGCTTCTAGTCAAGATGGCGGAATAGACAGTCCCCAGCACCACTCTCTCCCACAAATCAACCAACTTACTACTACTAAAAAGCAACGACAGCCAAGGTAGAACTGCAAGAGCTCAGGGGAAGAGGAGGAGAGACCTACGTAGTTCATGAAGGCAGGAAAAGCCACGATGAGAGAAAGAAAGAACCGTTCCGTTTCAAGCCCCAGCCACTTCGAGGCTAGAGGTGGTGAGTACATGGAGTTGGCAAAAGCTGAAGCTGTGCCCTTTGGATGAAGTTGCTTGGAGGTGGCAGGGGAGAAGAGGACCTTGGTGGCCTTCAGGCCAGCAAGACTACTAACGGGGTTCTCGTGGACCCACATAGGAGAGAGAAGCCACAACAACTGAAAAAAAGGAGCCACTCAGAGGCCAGCGAGTCACCCAAGGGACTGGTGCACGGCCCATCCCATGAGAAGTGTTTGGAGTGCGTGCAGTAGGGGAGACGGGTCCACCAGGAGAACACTGGGGCACAGCAAGGATAGCTGATCTGCCCTCCAATCAGTGTAGGACCATTCAGTGTAGACTGGTCAGGAATATAGAACTGCAGGGGGTGCAGTTCACTGAAAAGACTCAGACTCAGACCAGAGTTTCTACACAACCCAGGAGTACCAGATCTCATAAAACCCAGGAGTACCTATAAAGTCAACCATTAGAACCTGAGCTGCACAAAAAGCCTTCCCTAGGGAATCAATAGCAAAGAAGCAATTTAGCTCAACCACAGAGCTCAAGTACTTGTCTTCACAGGAAGTTCCCCTATTTTAGAAGTAAGCAAAGGACAACAAATTAGTTGTTGGGAACAGCAAACAATCCTTCACCACAGAACTGAAAAAAAACCAAAATACCCACAGACCAGAGACAAAGTTTGATATTAATTAGTAAAGGTCTCACATCACCAAAGAACACCTATAAAACCTAGAAGAGCGGAAGAAGGGCTACCAAGCCAGGGAGTGGCAGGGGGGGAGGGTTGGTGGCCTCAGCCATGCCCCCCAACACTCACAACCAGCCCAGTGATGATCACCAGGCTACTGCACGAAATGCCCAAGGCAATCCTGAGCCAGGGCGGTGGGGGGGCCGCAGGCCTTGTCCATGCCCCCCCATCACCTGCAACCAGCCCAGTGATGACCATGGCGCTGAGGGAGGAAGTACCCCAGGATCTCCCAAGCCAGTGTGGTGGGGGCCTCAGGCCTCAGCCACAACCTCCTGACACCTGCAACCAGCCCAGCAACAACCACCGAGCCACCAAAGGAAGCACCCTAGGCTCTCGAGCTGGGGTGGTGGCAGGTGAGGGCTTCAGCCACACCCCCTGACATCTGCACCCAGGCCAGCAATGACCAAGCCACCACTGGAAGCCCCCTGGTCTCCCCTAAAGGAATGAGGGGGGTGCCACAGTCCTCAACCCCACCCCTCCTCCTTCCTCTTTCTTCCACCCTATTTCCTTCCCCTTTCCACTCTCCCTTCTCTCCCCACTGCTCCACAACATCATAGAATGTAAAATAATAATAATAATATTAATAAATAAAGTTAAAAAATAAGTAAAAACATAAGATGGCCACCATGCTAATTTTTACATTTTAGAATTCTTAGATCAATTCAATAATGAAAAGCAAAGACTTCTATTAAATCAAAGGAAATCACACCTGTAATGGAACTCTAAGTGCAGCACCAGAGCATACATACCACTTGGAGACACAATTACTGGCTGAAGAAGTCTTTGTTCTCCCCCTGGAGGAAGGTTCAGTGCAATGACAAGCACTGTTCCTAGTGTTGTTCCAACCCATAGACATGGGGAAGGGGACAAGTCAGCCTTTCGAGTAAAAGTTTCACAGAAATGAAGAGCAGAGATTGCTTCACGGGATTCCTTGTCAATGCTGGTTACACTTGAACTCCGTGATCGGCTGAAGGAATTATCTTTTACATCTGAAATGATTTAAAATGTGACATTGTTAAGTTATAAAATATCACACCCACTGTTTGGTATAAATTCAGCCAAATAGTTAATCTGCAAAATGACAAAATGTACAGCATATTTAATTTTAATTTCCTTTTAATTGAAAAAGACAATTTACATATATGCTAATAAATTTTCCCTTTTGTTTAAATATAAAATACAACTGAGCAAATTCACACTTCTCAGAACTGAAGAGGGTACATCCTGATTAATTTTTGAATGCACGACCTTTAGTATCCTGGATTTTCTAATCGTACCCCTTAACTCCTCCTTTTCTCATAGTGCTGTTTCTCCTTTTTGTAATACAATTCATGATTAGGTAGAACTAGAAAAGTGTGGGTCTTTTCAATTTTCTACATTAAAAAAAATGCATTTAGAAGTAGTCTGATGCTACCTTCAAAATTACTGTATGATGGACCTCTTAGTTTTGAAAGCCTTTAATCAATACAAATTTAGCTTCCCTTTTTCTTAAATGCCATTTTAACTGTAATCGACATTCATTTAAGGCATTATTCATCAAAATGTATAACGGGTGTCTGGCCCAGAACTGATACCAGGAGTTCCCTTTACCCAGCTCTTTTTGTAACAACAGGGATATTTTAAAATTATACTTATAAAACTCTCATCTTCAGCTTCACTGTCCATGGCCAACCTCAGCCCGTCTCAAGCACTGGCCTCTTTTCCCATGAAACTGTATTTCCAAATGTTTATTGAACTTTTTTCCATGTCTCATGGTACAAAATCAAAACACATCATTCCCCCTAAAGCACTAAATTCTCCTAAAGACACTTTTTATATTGACACCCCTGTTTTCCTGGGAAATAAACTCATGAAATGAGCTACAGTTTTGATTTTGTTTTACCTACACACCTGATGGGATGCATGGCCCTGTATTACTTTATTGCAATGTTCTGTTTCCTTCTTTCAGTTACCAGTCTAGTTCCATTACCCTAAGTTTGGGCTCTCATCACCATTTACCTAGACAATTCCCAGTTGGTCTCTACACCTTCGGTCTCTCACTTCTAACAAAATCCAATTAAATATTACAAGGTAGAGTTATAATTCTGTCACCTTAGTTTAAAAAAATCCTTAGTGGCTCCTCTTTATTTAATCATGCTCATAATCTTACTTAAGTTTTTAAGACTCTTCATAAAATATCTTTAACCTACCCTCCTGGCCCTATCTCCCAGTGCTGCTCTTCTTCAGTTCACCACGGGAAATAAACCAAGCCATTCGCTTTTCTCCAAATATAACCCGCACTTACTTACTTTGAGGCTATTGCCCGTGATTTTCTGATTGGTGTCTTTGCACCAGCCCTTTCTCTACCTATCAAGATTGTGCTTCTTTTCCGTCTCAGATATTGTCATCTTCCTGAAGTTTATTTTGACTCCTACAACCATATATAGGTTCTCTCCCTTTTGAACCCCTATAGTTTTGCACTTCTCCCATGTCACTTATAGTACATTTATTCTGTAGTTACAAGGGTACTTCAAGTTCATGGGAAGATTTGTATTATCTTTTAATTCTATTTTTCCACAAACTTTTTGAAGTACCTTGCACTTCTGACTTATCTTATGTTCTGCTCTAAAGTGACGCAAGTGTCTCGAGTGCAAGTACTGTGTCACTTTGATGCTCTGAAGAATTTAGCACAGTGCCTTCCATATAAAAGGTATTCAATACTTGCTGAAGATAGATCTATAGCTGAGGGTATATAAACCAGTGTTTCTGCTGCATCATTAGGATATATGAAAATTCCCAGTTACCTTCTACTGCTCATATCTAATATGTCACTCCTCAAATTACATGCTTTCACTGTGAAAGACATGACTCTTCATGATGTTGTAATAAATTAAAAAAAGAAATTAATCTTCTAGTTGTTTTATTAAACAAAAAAGGTATAATCAAATCCTAGTTATACTCCCCAAAAGCTTTTTGCAATCAATTTAGATTCACAGATTGAAAATATTCCCCCAAATAACAATTATATTCAACATAATTTTGATTATAGCTATCCTGTTAAAACAATAAAATTACTACGTATGACAACAGCATGGGTCATTTCTAACTGTAGTTTCTAAAAACTTTCTTTTGCTTGAGATTATATTTCCTTTTATAGAGTATGACATGAAAGAAGAGAGCTACTTACTGTAAATGAAAAAACTTTCCATAATTAATAGCTCATTGTTGGATGAATTTGTAATAGGATTGATTCCAAATATTTATTAAGTCTTTATAGTTTCCAAAGTTATTTTAGTAAAATAATCGAAATAGTAAATTTATATTCAAATGACAAATATATTTAACTTGCTACTTAAATAAAGCATACACACAGCAGGTGAATGAACATATATTTTCTGTTGTGACCAAGTGATAACAATGGAAAGCCATGATGCGAGAAAACTGTATAATATAAATTTCAATGTAAATTAACCTGTGGAAAAACTCTCACTGATATCTGTTAAAATCACAACAGTGATTCACAACAACCTAAACTTTCAATGTTAATTCACAGGCCAAATGAAAGTGTTTTAATTTAATGGACTAATTTAACTAAAGTCATAAACTACAACTGCATTTTTATTATATGTTTTATCTATAAAAATTAGATAACCAAAGAAACTCCTAAGGCTAGATCAATATAGGAAAATGGATTGAATAAGAATCAAGTTTGAACTTGATAGATAAAGGTTGTTTATTTTATTGTCGGCTTAGAACTGTTTGAAAACAGGTCAGAATTTTCAGTAGTTCATGAATTACAACTTCCACCTACTCTTATTAAGTTAGGTGTCATGGGTCTCTGTGGCTTGATTTTTATAAATTAAGCAAGCTAAACAAATGAATTAGAACTTTTAATTTTAATAGTTCTAGTAATAAAGGCAGAAATGAAAATATCTACCACTAAGCAAGGCCTACCATGTGCCAGGCATTATCATAATACTTTACACTTATCATTTCATTAAATCCACATAACCAGCCTGAAAAGTAATATCATCACAATTTAACAAATAATTAAGTAGAGGCTCAGGGAGGTTAAATGGCTTGCTCAGGGTGACAAAGCGAATAGACAGCAGAGTCAGGATTTGTGTCCATGTCCAAGTCTAAAACTTTGTGTTAGGCAGCTTGAGACAGCCATATCACCAATATCGTATAACTGAAGGGTTATCATTATTATTAAGCATTAAAGTTCAATCTCTAGATGGCAGAAAAGTATGAAGGAAATTTAAACAGTTCATGGAAATATTCATATTATATTTTAATTATATTTTTCCACAAACTTTTTGACGTACCCTCATACTTGCACATGTGATCTTTCTGGCAGATCTGAAAGATAACATTTGTCATTAATGCCTCCATCTAACTTCAACTGATACAACCATGTCATAAGATCACTGCCTCCATGCTACTCTCTGGATACCTAGAACATTTTATTTGTATGCATCACTCTCTCCTCCCCATACAGAGCCTTCTGCAATAAAATTCTATATCCCCAACTCAAAGGATAATGCCAAGAGATGCATTAGCTCCAGGTAAAAATTAGGACAAGAAAGTAATTTACATCAAGATATAACAGTTAGATATTTGTCTTCTATGGTTGAAACTTGAAAAGTGACATCAGAAGTATAACAATATCACCCATGGTTCATGACTTGTGGGTTATGGAATCCAGGATGGTGAGGCTATAGTGAAAGTGCAGTATAGTACAATTTTCCCATAAGCAAAACCAAATTCTATTCACAGAAGCTTCCAGAGCTTCAGGACAGTCCCAACAACCTCAGCTGCTTTAGCAACATCTGGCAGTTTGAACCTATCACTATAGTTGGTTTTTTTCCCCATCACCTCCCCGACCAATGAAAAACAATTAGCAGAAAAGAATCCCTACCAAAAAATAGTTAAGCAGCGTGATGACTTGAAGGAAATTACTTAAACAATATGGAGATATTCAAGGTATATAACACAGTCATAATTGTTTCACAGCATTATACCATAAACCAAATAAAGATGACCCATAAAAGCATGGTGTACATACTTTGATTATATTATATAATTAAAAAATCTGAGTAGTCTTTTAAAAATAATTGGGTATGATATTTTTACTAATTTATAAAATACTTCTACATGTGTTTCCTCAGACTTTTGAGATATTAAGAGACACAAAGCCAGTTTAACTAGTTGTATTTAATATTATTCAAATCATGCCTCTTTGAGAGTCTGAGAAAAAGTCAGGATTCTCTTCTAAAAAAAAAATGTGTAATGAAAGCCTCATTTATACTTGGGTTCAAATTATGTCTTTCATTTTTTATAATGAAGGGAACTATGTATCCTTCTCAAAACATATGCTATCCTATATTCTATGATTAATTCTTGTTTCATTATCCCAGTGATATTATAGGGTCTACTAAATTGTTTTTCCTATGAATGGAAATTTCTACTTTTGACAGCAGAATACATCATATGCCTACTCACTCATAATCATATGCTTTCTACCAATATAACCAAGAGGTAAGACTATGGTTTGCAAACGCTAAAATGTAATATGTTGAAATGAAACAACATCTAAGTTTGTACAATGCATAAAAAAGATAGTCAAGGAGTCCAGAAAATAAACAGTGGGAAGGTGAAGTGGGTTGGCAAATACTGGGGAGAAAATATAGATATCTCTAAGATAGAGGTGGACAAAATTATCCTTAAGCAGTAATACTTCTTGCTCAATTAAAGGCAATAGAAATTTCTGAAATAAAAGAGTTTAAAAGAAAACCTGCATCATAGGTATTATGTGAAATCTTATTTTTATCTTTACTGAAATGTCGTTTGTTTCTACAGAATATCAAAAAGTTGTTTTTGAGGGGCCGGCCCCGTGGCGCACTCAGGAGAGTGCGGCGCTGGGAGCGCAGTGACGCTCCTGCCGCGGGTTCAGATCCTATATAGGAATGGCTGGTGCGCTCACTGGCTGAGTGCAGTGCAGGCGACACCGCACCAAGGGTTGTGATCCCCTTACCGGTCATGAAAAAGACACACACACACACACAAACACACACACACACACACACACACACACACACACAAAGTTGTTTTTGAGCTGAATATAAAGCAAAATGAATGTGTGAATATATTTACCCTGCTTTCATAAAGGATGAGTTACATAGACTGTAACTTCTGCTATAGAAGAATATTTCCAAACTATTATCACCAAAAAGGCAGAAATGACGATCCTAGAGAGATTAACTATAATACAGAAAACTAGTTAATTTATCTTTAAAATATAAAATGTATAAAAATGAGTTTCTAAATTAGAATTCAAAATAAGTTTTCAGATGGCTAAATGGGATATAACTACTTTTAATAAAAATCTGAAATTGTACAAATTTTAATCTTATACTAAATTCTGTTCAGACATATAAAATGTAAAAGGGCTGAGGAAATATATTATTTTGGTTTGCTTGAATATGTATTATAATTGTCTTTTATAATTTACACATAGCATTCTAAAGGCTATTCCAAAAGACGTTTAATCCTTAAACATCTTAGTCATTTTAAACTTGATTTCCAACAAAAACCAAGCTTATAGTAGTTTTAAATCTTATGATTTCCTTACTTGTCTCCCTATTATAGGGAGTTTACTTTGGATATTTATTTTATTTATTTATTTACCTACTTATTTTACTTACCTAAATCAGGCTTTAGGTCAGTAGGCAAGCTTAACTTCCTTGACATCTTTGCTGAAAAATAAAATGCACTTTTAGAATCCTGCAGAATATTTGATTCATACTTAATAACAACAACTGATTTTCAAGATAGAAATGAATACTTTTATTACTAACTCCAGATGTTAGGATAACTAAAATATGATTAATAATATTAGGGTGGAAAGTAAATCTCACTTTCAAGTTAACAGTTTTTACTTACTTGATGTGATATTTTTGTGTGCTTGAAGTTCTTATTTCAAGAAAGCCTTTTGAATTCTAACTTTTAATAATTTCTTAGGCTCACAGGAAAGAATTAGGCTTTTCTAAGAAAAGAAAAGTCATTTCTCTGAAGAAATGTGTTACAGAGAAGGACAAAAGAGGCATAAGACTAAGTTTGGGTATGTGATATAAAATCTTCCCAGCTCATCTTCATAACTATCTTTTTAAGTTAATTTCTAGATTATAGAACATACTTATAACTACAATCAAATTAAAGTATTTGATTATATCATAAAAATATCTGGCAACCATTACCTGATATGTTAACACTTCTATTTACATTTCAGTGAAAAAGCAACAAACGGTAATGCATAACCTGAAATTATGATATTTACATAAAACGCACACTATATTAGGTATTTTAATGTAGCACTGGAAAAATAAAAAAGCTAATTTGCACAAGCTTACTAGAATTCACTTTCCATCCTCAAAATCAGTTACTGCCTTAATTCAGGAAGTGATTTAAAGTTAGGAGTTGTTCAACTATATCTATTATGTTAGTGCATGCATAACAACATGGTGCTTGCTATGTGAAATTCTGAAAAAGCACTTGTTTGTTAATACGTGAATGCACATATTTGGTTAAACTTTGGACTGTTAGGAGATATTTAAAGCACAGACCCTGCTAGTCCAAAAGGGCGCCATGTAAACAAAGAGAAATCCAGTCATAGTACATAACTTCCACATCTAAAAAAATGACAAATCCAGTGTTAGGAAGGAGACATTAGACAGACTAGAAAAGGGTGGGATGGGGGGGGTGCATCAAGTTTTCACCTTTAAGCTTCATTAACCTAATTAGTATCCTTTAAACAAACACTGTTCAAATTTATGAATCAGTCATTCCATTTTCATTGACTTAATAAATTTCAGTTAGAAGATAAAATGTAATACAAAACTAAGTCAGATAAATAAAATCTGTGGTTAGTTGATCTCGTATCATTGCTATTGTATTTGATATCCAATACCCTTAAAATTAGAAGATATTATACACTTAAAATGATTCTCTAAAAAGACTTTAATATTTTAAACACTTTGCTAGAATGCAGAGGTTTTCACCAAATATCATAGGTACAATGTATATAGACTGAAAAGTAATATCTATACAATGTACATGGTATCTAAAGTAGAAAATCAATACAGCACAGTTTAAAGACACAGAATTAGAGGATACAGCTATAGCCTCCTCTCTAGACTCCACTAATCGGGTTTAATCAAGTTATTCTAAGTCTTTGGAACCTGTACTTCTTAAACTTAAATGTGCACATCAATCACCAGATATCTTGTTAAAGTGCACATTCTGTTTCTGTACTCCTGCACTAGGGCCTAACAGGCATTTTTAACAAGCTCCCAGGAGATGCTGATGATGCTAATCTGTGGTCCACACTTCAACTCTCAAGGTCCCTAGACTATAAGCATCTTCAGGTAGGAAATAAGACAAATTCACAAAACCTAGTATGCACACACAGTTAAGTCCACCAAAAACCAACAACAACAACAACAACAACAAAACAAAACAAAAAAACCCTTTCATGAACAAGCTTCAATATCTATCTAGCTTGTGAAATGTAAAGTAGTGGTAAGGAAGGGGCTTGGAATCAGACCAAACCAGGGTTCAAATCCACTTCAACCAATTACTAGGTGTGTAACTTTACACATATCATTTTGCCTCTTAATTCTCAAATTTCCTCATCTGTAAAATGGAAATAGACAGTTGTGAGGATATATAAGATGATATAGCAAAGAACTGAGCAAAATACCTGGTACATAGTATGACATGATGTTATTTATTATTAATAATAAAATGAGAATATGAACTTTTCACAAACTGTGAAATGCTATAAAGATGAGCTATTACTATACTTTCAAATAACCTAATGTTCCTTCATCCTAATTCAATGGCAATATTCCAAGTAACTAAAACAAGAAAATGGAAAAAAAACAAAAAACCAAAAAAAACTCTAGGACAAAAGTATACAATGGCATGAACCACTATAAGCTCAACCTTTCAAGTTCATTTCCAAAACAAAGTTCTCTTAGCAAACATAGCAAAGAAGAGAAATAACAAGAGTAATTCCCAAAATACAAATGTTTATCCCTCTTGAAATTAATAAATTAAAATATTTTAAACATTTTGTCAATTAGATGTTTCCATTGAAGCTTTCATTCAATTACCATACCTATTTCTGCCAAAATATTTTACTAGCATGAAATCTGCTTCTGAATTTCATGTGTATGTTTTGTATCCTCCTTAGGATTTTTACTAAAAATAATTTCATATAACCTCAAATATTCTTGAAAACTTGTTAATCCCTCCCACAGAAAGTTTTTTGTCTAGCACTATACTTAATTTTTCTATTATACAAAAACACTGAATATAACTAGCCAGTTTTCAAATAATCCCTCAGTTGGTCTACTGTCAAAATTTTATTAATATTGAGAGGTTAAAACCACACATATGAGTAGGAAGATTTTTTGAACATAGTAATTTTACTATAAAGGCCACAACGAATTAATTATGTAGTCTATTTATTATGTCTTCCTGAAACACTTTGCAATAGATATCTACAACCTGGCCATCAACTCAACCATTGTGTTCAAATGACAGATATTTAAGCCACATTAATTTTATATTTGTATATAATTTTAAGCAATCTCCTTGAATATAGAACTTGAAATGACAAATAATGTTAAAAGATTAACCTTTGTTATTTTGTGTTAATTCTAGTTATCAAGTAATATTTAAAAATAGAGAACTAAGAGTTTTGGTAAGTAGAGAAAAATTTTTGTGACATACGGAGGTACAGATTGGGATAGAGGAAAACTTATTTATTCACTAAATATCTATTGGGCACCTGTCAGCAATGTGCCAGAGGGCAGGGGTACACTTCCTGCCCACCAGGAGCTCATAGTCAATTAGAAGAAAAAATAACTCCAATGCAATGTAGTAAATACTACTCACAGAGGCAAGCACAGAGTGCTCACTAGAGTACATTTAACTTTACCTGTATCTCACTCTGGAACACTCACTGAAGACTGGGGGATGTGGAGACAAAGCCAACAAGAAACTTTGTACACTTTCACAAAAGAGGATGTTCCCCAAACATTTTGGTGTTGTTGACAGTATATTTTCTTTTGATGTAAACTTTACATACAAATGCACAAATCTTAGATGCACATTCACTCAGTTTGACAATATATACACCTGTGTAACCCAAACCTTTTGCAAGATACAGAACATTAACCATCATCCCAATAAGGTCACATATGTATGCTGCTTCCCAATCAATCCCTGCCCCATTTCCCCAAATAACCACTGCTCTGATGCTTTTTCATCATAGATCAGTTTTGACTGTCCTCTAACTTCATATTGATGAAATCACAGTATAAACTCTTTGTAAGGTGTCTTTCATGCAGGATGTTTTTCAGTTCCTTCCCAAAAATATTTTAAAGCTTACATTCTTTTTTCAATGCGCAGAATGAGAACCCCCCCCAAAAAAAACAAAACAAAAAAAACCCCCCAAACATTCTCTTAATTAACAGACTCCAAGGCAATATCAGATTAACATTCTTACTGTTCCCCATACACATGCATTTTTATCTTTAGGTTTTTTTGAATTATGTGTTCTTTACAGCAAATTTGTAAAATAGAGAAACAGAAAAAAAAGGTCACTATTAATGCCTACAGTTAGAAGCAACATTCTTGCACATTTACTGCCAGTCATTTTTTACAATCCATTTTTCTTTATATCAACTATAATATACAAATTGGTATTCTGCTCTTTTTCACTATTAAAACAAGCATTTTCTTATGTCATTAACTGTTAACATATTTTAATGGTTGCACATTTACTTACATGAACATTTATGAACCATTTAGGTATTTTCCAATTTTTCAATATACACAATAATAAAAATGTTGTACATAAATATTTGCATTTATTTTTGATTATTATCTTAGGATAGAGTTCTATAGGGGAGAATTAATGCCAGTACAACTTCCACAATCCCCAAGGTATTCTAAAGTATGTTTTTAAGTAGTATTTTATTTATTTTATTTTTTAAAGGACATATATTTCATTAAGTTCTGTGTGGATGAAAAACAAAGAAAAAAAAATATAACTGTGACAAAATGTAAGAGTCCTAGCTAACAAACATATCCCCTCAAAACTCAAGATATTGCCCCATTCTTTTATTGTATGGAGTGAAGCTGAGAAATCTGAAGCCAGACTGATTATCACCTACCTCTGAATGTAACTTGCCTATTTTGCATGGATGGTTTGAGGGGGTTGGGGACAGGGAACAGTAGGAAAGAAGAGATAAGGGAATGGGAGGGATGGAAAGAATTTAATTCCTTGGGATGAAAATTTTGCTAGGGCCGGCCCGGTGGCGCACTGCTACAGTGCGCCGCTTGGGAGCGCGAAGGCGCTCCCGCCGAGGGGTCGGATCCCACATACAGACCGGCCGCTCACTGGGTTGGACTGGCGCGGGGCCAAGGGCGG